AGTGGGTAGGGGGGAAAATTGAGGGAGTTACCTGGGTGGTGGTGGCATCAGTGGCAGGGGCTGCTGCCTCCTTTCCTTTCCTTTAGGGCCCCTGGAGATGTTCAATATGTGTGAGTGCAGGGGAAGCCCTGCTCCAAGCTGGACGACAGCATTTAGGTTGGTAAAAGGTTAGGCTAGAGGGCAGACGTTTTGGGGTATTTTGGTATTTCAAATGATATTTTCAATAAAATGGATATCGTCCTGCTCAGTATTTATGGTGTAGAGCTCTGCTTGATTTGCATTTCACTATAAAACTATTTTATTCTGTATTTATTAACTATTGCAGACAGACCTAGAAATGGTCACCGAAGACCTTGCACAGAAAGTGAACAGGCCTTACCTTCGGACTCCTCGCCATAAAATCATCCGTGCAGCTTGTCTTGTGCAGCAAAAGCGGCAAGAGTTCCTGGCCTCTGTGGCCCGTGGTGTTGCTCCTGCAGACTCGCCAGAAGCTCCCAGGCGCAGGTAATCCAAACAAAATACTGTGCAAATCAAAAGAAGTTCATTTGATAGCTGCCAAAGTGGGTGAATCCACTGTCATTCTTTGACAGTGAGTAAAGTGGAGCTGATAACCGTGGTGGTTGTAAATCACCAGATAACGATATTTTCTTGGACATTTGATCCTCGTGTAATTACAGCTTTTCACTGAGGAAAAATGTATCTGAGAATCACTGCTCTGTTGCAACGTAAATTGCTTCCCCATTTGTGATATGTTAATGATTAGATGTCATGGCTTCCATTTCACTTTTTTCCTTCAATATTGTCATTAAATACCTGGTACACTTGAAAAATCTATAAGGCAGTTCTGGAATAGTCAACAATTTAATTGTATGGCTTTCTAAATGAATTTTGACATAAGAATTAAAGCAGAGGACTTGTTAACTTTAGAGAGTTACAGTTGCACTAGTTTTTAGATGTTGATAGGTTTTGAAGTTCTGGAGGTGGTTCATACTTGTTCTTCTTCTAAACTTTATGGTGTATCTCTTCATTTTATAGCTTTGCTGGTGGAACATGGGATTGGGAATATTTAGGATTTGCATCCCCCGAGGTAAACTATTTCTTTTTAATTTTTTTTAACTTAGTTCTGCATATTCTAGAAACACAGGTATGATCGCAATCTGCATGAAGAGCTTCCTTATTTTGATTCAAAGCGTTTCAAGTTGGTTTAAGCTTACCATTTTATTTATTTCACAATAGAAGGAAATATATTCATAGCTAATTGTGTGATGACTCTGAACAATGCCTCTAACATGAATATAGTTATTTAAAGTGTCATTAGACAAGCTACATTGTATTAATCATTTTCCAAGTACACAACCAGTTTTAAATTTATATATAAACTGGTGTCTATGTGCTGGGGAACCTTAAAGTAATAAATCTATGAAATTGTGTAGATTAC